GTCTGCATGAGGAGCCCGCTTCAGTAAGCTGTTGGAACTGGGGAATTCCAAGGCGCGAACACTGCCTTTAAGTGAAAAAAAAAACGTTTATTCGAATACTCATTCATTCGCGCAATTGAAAAGATGGCTGATTGGAATATTGAATATTCCAGGAAATTTGGAAGACACTTATTCGAATATTCGTATATTGGAAAATCTTGGATAGTTGCTCGAGTGCAATATCCAAGTAAGAGAAAAAGTATTCTATATTCGAGTACGAAAATGTTTATTCGAATGTTTCATATGCGAGCTTTCATGCATATTCGAGTGTGCATTCGAAATTTCTAACGAGAACATCCTACGATATTCATGCGATAACTCGAGTGGTCGCATATTCGATCAAGTTCATTCGAATATTTGAGAATCTGGATAATATGAAACTCAGGAATCATAATGTTCGTTTGTTTGAGAAAATTTTGAAAATTGATTATTCGACATACATCCGTTCAAAATTTCCAAAAATCTATTACTCGATATTTAATCATTCAATGAAAATCTCTGTTCTTACATCTAGAGTTGCAAATTCGAATATTTCCAAAAAGCTTTGGTCAGTGAATGCGGAAATTGAAGTCTTAAACCCTCGGATACTTGAAATCGTTTTTTGCTATATTGTTGTTCTCACGTCCTTCAAACCAGCTTTGCATTAATTGAGTGGATCTGAAGTATGTGAGGAATTTCTGACAACAGTGTCGTACGTAAAGATTTCTCCTTTTAGGTTGTGCCATGATGCAGAGTACGGTCGTGACGCATCCAAAATCATCGAAAAGTGGAAGGAGATTGCTCGACAAAGTGGTGTTAGGGGTGGTGATGAAGACTGCAATTCCGAGGACGATCATCCTCAGCGAAATGGCTCTTTAGATCCGGTTGAGTCAGATGACCACGGATCATATCCGATGAACAGCGATGATGCTCATCGAAATTCTCAACATTATAATCACGAGGATACTTACAAAGGTGAAGACTCTGACGAGGACTCTCATAGCCGTCGTTATAAACGTGAAGAGAAGTCCAGAGATTACTACGAGGAGGACAACGAAACATCAGGCGAAAGACGATACTGCGAAGATAGACGAAGCGATCGCTCTCATGATGATGCAGGTCCCATTTCGCTTGTCTCAATACATGCGTAATGTTCTGTTGTGTAGATTCTGATGGTGCTTATCACGACTACGAGGACAACCATGATCAGCGGCGGGATGACTACGACAGTGATGGTGCGGGTCAAACACTTGATAGGTTGGTTTACCCTAACTTTAGTGTTCTGAATATGTAATTTATCGCTCATCAAAAGTGTTTTGCGGCTGAGTTTTGGTTTCATGTAATAATTTTGAAAGCTATAACTATTGACATACAGGTGTCGTATGTTAGCATAGCCTTGTTTACCTCTACATATATTTCACAGTTGTTGTAGTGCTGCTTTCAGCTTTTGCAAATACATGATTTGCAGACCATGTTCTTCTCGTGCCAGCGATGCTAAGGATTCGAGAAAAAGGCGCCACAATGTGGAAGAGCGGACCCCTTCCAAGCATACGTCGAATGAAACGAAAAAAGTCAAAGCAAGCAAGGTACAGCATTATCATCTTCGTTTCACTTTAGTCCCTTCAATATTCTTCACGCTCCCTTCAATATTTTTCACGCATGTCTTGCATAGCTATCGCTCGCAGAATTTGAATGAGCCACCGGTGGAATGCAACAGTTTACAAAACCTTGGCTTTTCATGTTTCTCTTAGAT